TGATTAGTCGACTATCAAAATAATCGTTTGTGGCAGCCCTAAAGTGGTAATAACTCAAAAGTGGCATCGAGGAACTAAACTTTTTTTTGTTAAAGTAATCCCACAACAAACCAAAAGCAACAATGTCATTTAGTTCCCTCTGAGGACGTCACAGACATGCAGCTCTGCGCTGAACTCGAGCTCAGTGATTTCCTCAAACTGCAGGATGCTGTTCAACTTTCAGAACGAGCAGGTGCATTTCTGTGACACTGCAATGAATGAACACATCAACCAGTGAGCTTCTAATAGTTTTTGGAAAAGACTGGAAGTCACAGAGCACTTTTGGTCTGGGATATATGGACGATAGGAAAACTGTAGGTGACCACAGCTTGGATATTTGATGCTAAACAACAAATTAACTGAACCACAAAGAACTTTCTGACCACATTGACCAAAATAACTGAATGTAAATTGCCGTCTGCATAAGAAATCTATCATATACAGTAAGTGTGTGTGTGCTGCTTGCTGAGGAGTGGATACACGTGCGTTTATTCTTCTTCTGTCAGGACCACGGCGAGCCCGGCAGGCAGCTATACTCCCGCTCAGAGATCCTTGCTACAGACGATTGCTCACGTGCTGCACACATTTCTCGTGTTGTACAGACATCCAAACAGGCTGCCAGGGCAGCAGGAGGTGAGGCCGGCTGCTTTAACGCCTGTAGAACAAATTTAAGTTCAGGTTTTATCACCTGAAGGCATGTTTCCTCATAACTGATCAGTTTATCTTTTTCACCTGTAGCTGAGGAATTTGACCCGGAAGAAAACCTGCATTCTACTGAAGGACAGACGCATATGTGAGTACACGTCATAGCTGCTCGTTCTCACCGTGTTCGAGGTGTTTCTGTCGAGTGCAAGTTTAAAGATGTTTGAAAGAAGGAAAGGAAGTGGTTTGATTACATTAACACGTCTTCTAAACTATGTTGAATTGTATTATTGCAGATTTTGAATCCTCTAGTACAGCAGTGCAAATCCTGCTCTGCAGCTTTAAATGCTGTGCTGCAGCTCTCTCACTCCCACATAAGAGGGGCTTTCCCCTCTCTGCTGACATTTCTGCTCCATGTCATATGTCAGCAACCTTCTCCTCCCACAGTTCCCTCTCCCAGCTCCTTAGATGGCCCCTTTGTGTCTGTGTGTGAGGGGGAGGGTTATTTTATATGTACCCGGGCGGTGTGCGGACACAGCACACGGGGGAGGATTCTTCTCAAAATGAGCACCCAGCTCCTAGAATTGTTCTCCTCTCCTCCACTTAGTCTCAGTGTCTTGTTTGTCTCAGGGTGATGGTACAGAAAGTTCTGCAGGAGCTAAAGAAGTACCACGGGTAAGTAAACAGGAGAGGGAGGTGTGCGTGCTCTCACTGCTGTTGTAGCGGCGTCCCAGTCTATAAAGCACCAGCAGAGCCAGACTGTAGAGCGTGCGTGTGCACACACTGCACTGTAAGTGCAAGCATGTTTTTGCCATGTTTTGCATGTTGATATTGTGCAGTGACACTGCTGTTATCACTGGGAAAACACTCACGGAGTCTAAACCACACTTTGTTTTTGTACAGTTTAAAAACTCGAGCCATGACAAACACGTTTCTCACATTTTTGAATCAAGCCTTTCATTGTCATTGTTGTCATTGACAGAGAGAAGCAGAGAAACAGCAGATCAGACACCAAAGATTCAGGAAGTGTCACTTGGTACGAGTTCCTCTCTAACGAGTAAGTACGGCCCTCATCGTTGTTCCCCTGTGACTGAAGCTGATCGTCTCACATTTGGGATGTTTGTGATGAAATGACTACAGGCACAGCGAGTCCTGGGAGGAGTTTTATTAGCCGTCGGTGACGGGATACAAAACTAAAAGCAGACAAAGTGCTGATACAGTGCAGGCTGCTCTTGGTTCTGCAATAATGTGGTTTGTTTTTATAGAAACCATCAGAAAAACTGTTACTAATCAACAATGTCCTGTTTGCCAGGATGAATTTCTCATGTGTGCTTCAGGGGTTTTTATTCCCTCACTATGTAAAGCACCCTGAGATGACCTGACGCTGCACAAAAAAGTCAATTGAGACTCAACAAAGAGCGTAATGCTTTTAAAGCCAGGGATAGCAGTGGATCATCTGCTTCCATCTCACCCTTTAAAGGCTGAAAGCAGAAGAAAAAGACGCCACAGAGACGCTGTGGTGTCTTTACATTAGCCTGCAGTTTATACTTTACTCTCTTGCTCATCTACCAGGAATGAAGAAGAGGAGGATCGTATAGAGAAGGTGGAAAGAGGCACAAAAGTAAAAAGGACTCTGAGCTCTCTCAGGAACAGGATGACCGGCTCCTTCAATAAAGATAAGGTAATCCTGTGAAGCCCCTACGACTTCATGACGAAATATAAATGTACCTTTTGCACTGAAGTGCACGTTTGGCCTAATGATTGCATTTTAAAGCAGATTGCAATCTCTATCCGAATTGTATGTCCTGCCTCAGCCATGAGATGTCATGTTTATTATGTCTGGAGAACACAACATGTGCATGAATAAAACAATCTGCCTCTTTCCTCGTTCCTCTGCAGGGTAAGAACCGCGAAAAAGAGCCTCAGAAAGAGAAGGTGAAGGACAAGGAGCCCAAAGAGAAAATGTGTGGCATTCACAGCAATGGGCATCATTTGGTGCCAGGTTCCTTCTCCAGTTGTGCCACGTGCTCGTTGTGCAGCAAGGCGCTGCAGAAAAAGCATGGCCTGCAGTGCACGAGTGAGTAACGCCACAGCCACAGGTGTACACGCACCCACGCTTCTTCTCAGTCGGACACATATGTGCACAGGTGCTGCGCTCATGCACAAGCTCGCATCTATTTATACTGCATGCACACTCACTCGCCCACTTAGTGGCGCACTCATGCACACATGTAAACAAACCACATGCAACACGAAGAGCTTGTGCTCACTAAACACCCGTTCAGCCTCTTTACACTGACATCTTTGTCAAAGCACCTACGTGTGAATCACACAGCAGCTTTTCACCACCCGTCACAGTGACTGTGGCTCCTCTTTGGGCTGTTGAAGACATTTAGCTGAAAATAAGGCGTTCTCCTCCATTGTTAGATGTTAAGATGACACAGCCTGCCCCTTTTCCGCCTCATCATTACTTTACCTCATCAGGTCACCTCTGTGAACTTGTTTGGACAAATTCTTGCAGATGTTTCGGTGAAGCTGCAGCTCGCCTTAGATTTGTTTTTCTAGTTTGCAACATATTTCAGATTTCTGCTTGTACGTGTTGAATGAGCTTGAAGTGAAAAAGCTGAGCCTCGCTTTGTCTCAAGGTAACCAAAGCTTCATGAATCCATTGGTCTGTTACTCTTAAGCCAATCAAGGGCAGCATACAGGCTATAGTCAGAATAATGTTATCGAATGTGTGTTTGCACATTTGGAAGATTATAAATAACTGCAGCAGCTTCTGATGAACTACTTGTACTTGTGCATGGAAGAAGTTTACCAGTGAAGCTCTTTAATAATGGCGGTCGTGTTAGTGGACGTAGACAAGAGTTAAGAACCTTTAGTCTGTATTATTCACATCTGACCATAACGTGTCTGACAAGTAAAACTAGTTTGCATATCAAATGTTAAGCTTCATGTCAGTAAAATGATAGAAAGTCTCTTCTCTTGATAAAGACGATGGCAGCACAGGTTTCAAAACTGCATCTGACCAAAACCACGATGCACAGCGCCACGTTTGGAGAAAATCAAACACAGCATACCAGCACAACCTCACATCATGTGTTGGGCACGGTGGTGGGCAGGGCAATGCTTTCAGCTCGTTTTGCAGCCTCGGGATTGGACACCTTGCACTCACTGAGTCCACTGTGCACTTCTTAGAATACGAAAGTATTCTAGAGGCAAATGTGAGATTGTCTGTCTGACCAAAACTGGGTCACGCAATAGGACAATGATCCCAAGCACAGCAGCAAACGTTACAGCAGAATGACTGAAAAAGAAAAGATTGACGTGTTTCGATGGCACCGTCAAGTCAGGTCAGTTACATTTAGTTTAATTTATACAGCACCAAATCACAACAACAGCCGCAGGGCTCTTTATACTGGAAGGCGAAGACCCTACAATAATACAGATGACCTCTTTGAGCAAGCACTTGGCGACAGTGGGAAGGAAGAACTCCATTTAAACAGGAAGAAATCTCGTTCAGGACTCTAGGAGGGGCAGTGACAGGAATGCTGTGGGCGGACCTTAAGAGCATAAACAAATGCCCACAAGCCTCAGTGAACTGAAGCAATGCTGTAGACCAGTGGTCCTCAACCCCCGGGCCTCGGACCGGTACTGGTCCGTGAGTCGTTTGGTACCGGGCCGCGAGAGTTGAGGCTCAGGTGTGAAATGTATAGTTTTCAGGGTTTTTATCGTTAACTCTGTTTTCCTGGGTCTTTTCACGTGTGTTATGAATAAATCTTCTTTTTTTAGGTACCGGTACTAGTTTTATTTTGTTGTATTTATCCGCGACACCTTAAAGGCCGGTCCGTGAAAATATTGTCGGGCATAAACCGGTCCGTGGTGCAAAAAGGTTGGAGACCGCTGCTGTAAACGCTCGATGGCTCAGCTCTGATACAGCAGTCATTCACACACACATTCATACAAGCACTTTAGCCTCTTTAGCCAACATTCACACACGGCTTCAACATCCAAGGATACTTTAGCATGCAGACTGGAGCAGCTAGAGGTCGAACCACCAACCTTACCATTAGTGGATGACCTGCTCTACACTCCTCCACAGACTGATCATGTCATACTTTTTCATTCCTACTGTAGGTGGTCCTGCGAAAACGTTTTCTCACAACTGTGTTTAAAGCGATGCAGTTAAAGTGGATGGTTCGAGACACACTCTCAGTATTGATGTTACATTTATGTTGTGTGACAGTTTTAAACTCCTCCTGGGTATTTCCTTTCCATCACCGTGACTGATGCTGGCAGTGTGGACTTTTGTCACATGTGTTGACATTATTGTAATCCAGAGGCCGTCTTCTCATAAGCCATGTGGTCTGGCTGTTTCACATCAACAAATAAAGTTTCCAGTAACAAGGAAACAGAAGTGTTCTCGATGTCATCAGCGTTTCTCTTTGCTTTCACTGGCACATGTGGATGGGAGCACTGGGGGGCTTTTAGTCATTCTGTGCTATTGCTTCATTATTTCATGACTATAACCCAATATTTCCTTTCTCCCTCTATTCTGTGGCAGACAAAGGCCATAATACGTCCCGGATATTTATACACCGTGCGGTCTGGCGGTCAGGATGTAATATATGGTTGTTTCTTATTGTTTGCTTATTAAACAGAGCTGCTCTGGTATTCTTCAGCGAGGCTCGGTGTGCCACACATTCAGTGTCTTCCTCTTTGGACTGCCTCTTTTTGACATCAGCAGAAAACAATAAGACATCTTCGTCTTTCAGCTGCTCCCCTTAAGGGTGGATCATCTGCCTCCATCTCACCCTGTCCCTAGCATCATCACAACGACCCTCTACATACCACTGCATCCATGAATCCCCTCTTTTGTCCTCCTTCCTTTTCTTCCTCCCTTCAACATCCTTTGCCCAGCATATCCACATCTAACCTTGTACATCCTGGTCACTCCCAGTGAAAGTCTGAGCATCTTCAACCATGCACTGTCATCTTGTAAACCTTCTCTTTCATTTTGCGGCTATCCTTCTGCCGCAAATCATCCCTAATTCTCGCGGATGAAGCAGGCTCTCATCCACCTGCTCCCCGGTCTCACTACAGATCACATTGTTGCCTGTAAATATCATTTACCAGTGATAGCCTCCATCACTGTATCAAAGAAGAAGGAAGGGTCTTAGCAGATTGCTGGTGTAATCCTATCCCCACCTTGAACCTGCCTGTAAACCTGCTGTACACCCTGCACCGCCCTCACATCCTTCTTCACGCAGTACCACAGTTCCTCTCTTGCTTTCATAGATCCACAGAAACCACAGTGCAGTTCTTTTTGACTTCTCCATCAGCACTCTCAAAGCAAACATATCTGTAGTGCCCTTTCTCGGCATGAGGACACACTGCTGTTCACTTATCGTCACCTCTCAACAACTCTTTCCCATATCTTCACGGTGTGACTCATCAGCTGTATCCCTCTATAGCTGCCTCAACTCTGTACATAACCCTTGTTCCTGAAAATCAGCACCAGTACACTTTTCCTCGGATGCTCAGGCTCTTTCACTCCCCAAGATTGTGTTAAACAATCTGGATAAAACAATAATAATAATAATAATAATAATAATAATAATAATAATAATAATAATAATAAATCTGTTACATTTCTCCATCCATCAATCATCACTGCTGTTGAATGAAGTCACAAACCCTAGATGCTCGTGTGTTGTTGTTCCGCGGACACAGGCGTGAGAAAACAAGTGAGTGTCCCTTTAATTTGAACTCAGCCCTGTGGGGATTCAGCCTGTGGAATGCGTCGTTTGTATGCCAGAGATTGTTCCCAGTGGAGACACAAACTGGACAAAACCGAGTATGTGGGATACTTGTTGCTGATCTCACTGGCCGGTGTGTTTTATTTAACTTACGGACAGACTACATTTCTCTTCGGATGCAGCTGATTCAGGCAAATCCGAGTCTTCTTGGGGCGGTAAGAAGCGGCTACTGTAGCGATGGTCTCAAGCGGGATCAGGTGGATAACTCCCGTTGTTTCCCTCTGTGGACTTTTCAGTCATCCCTGTCGTTAGCTAAGCCAGCTAAGAGCTAATCAAAGCCAACTAGGAGCTTTTTTCTTTTCCCTCCAGTGTTGACTCGGTGTGATAATAAGGGCAAGACACATGTACTTTCCCGAGAGTTTAATTTACACTTAGCTGGCCCAAATTAGCTCCCAGCTAGTCTCAGCGTAGTGCTGGCTACTTATTAGCCACGCAGCGCTTAGCGTGCTAGCTCGCGAACAACCTCTCCTTCTCGAAACACAAGGTTAGCTGAAAGCTTGTGTCTTTGTGACGTAAACAAACCCACAACGCCACGAAACTCGTCTGTTTGTTAACTTTAGGTCAAGTTTACGTGGGTTTTTCGGTGACTTTGCTCTGCTGCCGGTTGTAGACTTTGCACGAAGCTCAACAGGTGATTGCTAGCGTTAGCTTCCAAGATAACTTGGTGTGCCTGAAGTCTAATTTACTGGCGTTTCCTCTCGTGTAACGTGTTTCAAACGGAGCGTGTATTCACATGTACAGCAGTAATGTTAGAGCAGTGTTGACCGAGGCTGTCTCCACCTCCATCAGCCTCCTTTATTTGTCTTTGCTCCCTCCTCTTAGCTGACTGAAACCCAGGCAGCTTTTATTCCTTCTTTCTTTTCTTTTTTAAATGTATATTCTTCAGTGTATTAAATGAGATGCTTCCCATTCCTCAGCCGGGCAGGTGATGCCCCTCTGCCAGAGCTTTGCTGGCATCAGGCGATAGGAATGCCCCAGGCTGAGGGGTGACCATTCAGCCTGTCACCTCACTCTTCAGCCTTTCTGTTCTGACTGGGTCACATGGTGCTAATTGTGCTTGGCAGGTCTACCAGTGCATAACAGCCCACTCCACTGACTCTGGGTCTCACCCATGTCTGCCTGTTAGCACAACACTTCTTTATGCATCACTGCCTTTCCTTCAAGCATGCATGGCTCTCTGAATGTTTGCATTTTACACGATTGAAGGTTTGGCTCTCACACTAGTATTCTCCTCCTGTGGACCATTGTTGTCTACTTTTATACTGGTAACCTTTGGCCTAATTAATCAGGAAATGGGGGGAAAAAGCACCATTACCAAGAAAAAGTAGAATGGTTTGGACCATTATTTCCAGGAGTGTGAACCAGATTAATCTAATAGTTCAAACCCAAGCAAGGTCAAGTGTATGACAATGAAGGCATGGTTGTTGTGCTAATTTATGTTGTGCATTAAATTATTGGTGGTGGACTTTTGGTGGAGGACTGCAGAGATGTTTCACTTCACTTTGTAAACCGCTCCACTTCCCTCCCGTTTCATTAGATGATGTCATTGGGTCGTCTGGCCTCTTTGGACTTTGTCCCAAATGTTTTTGTCGCTAGTGTTTTTGGGGATTAAGAGTAACTTCTTTCTTTTTCTTTTTTTTGCATGCATGATTGCACAGGAAGCTTTGTGCTAGAATGTTTTTTTAAAGTGACCTGTTTTCCTCTTTACCTTCAGTCGATCAGCTATTTGCGGTAATAAGGTTTTTCTTTGAACTGAAAATAATGATTGAGGTCACACATGGTTTCACATGGTTCAAAACGATAAGTAGCCTACTTATTGAACTTTACCGTCAAGTTAATTTCCTCTCAAATTGTGACTCTGCACTGTCCAAGTTATTCTGTGGAAGGGTGATATGTTTAACTTCTATTGTAGCTTGCATGCTCTCTCTGTGTTTTCTCTCGGTTTCCTATCTAGTTGATAAGCATGCATTTAGTTACTGTGGATATCCATGGTTTAATAGCTGTTTGTGTCAGCTCTGCAGTGGACCGGGGATTTGTCCTCGGAGTACCCCGACTCACCCTGGGTCAACCGGGAGAGACTCCTACCCCGTGAAAGCCTAGTTGAACAAGCTTTTAAGAGAATTCATACATGGGCAGAAGTTGTCTGACAGAGAGGACATGCTTGAAAATAATTTTCATTCACATAAATCGAACAACGTTCACATGCAAAGGGTTCTGGTTCTCTAAGTCATGGAACCCAAACCGACTGCCTTAGTGACTTTGAATGCCATGTGTGGGATTCTGGTCATAACAGAGCCACTGGATCCACTCACAGCAAGCGTCTAAAGTCAGTGTTTTTTGTTTAAGTCGTCATTAGTCTGTAAGTGAAGAGTGGATGTGACCTAAAATGAGTTCTTGTGGCCCTCGACAGCAATTGCAGTGCTAGCCTCTATGGTTTAAAGCCTATACTTAGAGCTGTGACAGGGTTATTGCTTTCACATGAATTAACACAACAGCTTCCTGTGTTTTTGCACTTTGTCTTTGGTATG